TTACATGAGGTACTCTTCTCTGGGTCACTCCTAATTGAAGCCACATCCCCTTGGCCTTGTTGGTCATTTCCCTTAGGATTGAGATAGTCGGCTACTTTCTTCTCTGTTAGCAGAAAGTTCCTTTCATACTGCTTGACCAAATCCTGTTCTTTCTCCAATTCCTGCATAGTGGTATTCTCATCGTCCAGCATTAACTCTTCAATTTGGGAATTCGCGCTCCTTAGCCGACTCACATCAATCTCCAGCAATTTAAACACGACCAAGATAGAGTCCCGAGAAGGATATTCTTTATTAAATTCAGTCTCAATTTCTTTTATACCTTTTGTCACCGATGATCGCAGCAGCGTTCTTAATTTCTTACTTTTATCCATCTTGAAATTTTCAATTAACAAATTTAAATTAAGGCTAGTTTACATATATTCGCTAAATTTCGCCAATCTACTTTGTTTAATTTTAATTTTCTTTAACTTTACTTTCTTAAGCTTTAAATTCTTTGGCTTTTATCTTATCTTCTTTAGCCTTTTCTTTAGACTTAACCTTTTTTGGCCTTTTCTTTAGAATTAACCTTTTTTGGCCTTTTCTTTAGACTTAACCTTTTTTGGCCTTTTCTTAAGTTATCTGCCTATTCCCTTGTAGAATCCGGCTCGAGGGACCAAATGTTAAGGTTTCTTTGTCCTTAACAGAAAAAGGCCGTTCTTTAGAGGACTGTATAAGTTTTAACTACTTCCCAGACGACACCCCAATGGTGATTCCAAAGCCTCAGCCAAAGATAGGATAAAGGCACGACCAAAATACTATTCACACTCATACTTTATTTTAAAAACTCAATTATATACAAAACAGTCAACGGTCAATATATACATAATCACAGAACAATTAAATGAAATAATAAATAATATCATATAGAAAACTCAACATGAGTCAATACTTCTTGTACTCCCTTATGTTCATAGGTTCCATAAATACCCGGCCACTGCCTTTTCTAATAAATATATTGTTGTGTAACCACGGCGCACCCTGAATGCCGGACACGTGGGCGCGACTAACATACGCCTGCTATCTTAACTAGCAAGGCTCACGATTTAGAAATTTTTTAAAATTTTAATTAAATTTAAACTCTCTCTGTGAGTCATCGAACAACAGAGTTTGGCGAGAAATTGCACTTTGACCACGGACCAACTTTCTTGCTTGCTCTCTTTACTTTTTTTTTTTTTGCTCGGACTTAAGCTCCATTTTCTTTTTTTTTTGGATGAACGGAAAATGAAGACGACCCGACCCGCACCGACCGACCCTACAGAGGACTGACCCGAGTGCCAAGAAGCTACAGACATCACCGGACCAGCCCCAACCCTGGCACCAATAAAAAGTTACATCCCTTAGTACGGCCCTGTGACTTCCAGGCTCCCACGCAACAATATATACAGTAAAACCTCTCTATAGCAAACCCCAATGGGACTGAATCTGTGGTTCACTATAGCCATGGCTCATTATAGGCATGATTCACTCTATGCTATATGATAAGGCACAATTTGGATTATAGATTATAAACACAAGGTAATAAGACCAAATCTAAATAAATAATGTGTGAAGTTTCGGTAACAGCATTGTTGCCATTATCAGACAAAAGAACTGAATGAAGGAAAAATATCACAGTATATGTTTTTAAATAGATAATCTTCTTGATAAAGAACAATTTGGATTATAGATACAAGAAAATAAGATGTAATCCAAATAATTTAATAGCATGTGACATTTCAGCAACAACGTTGTTACCATCAACAGACAAAATAATGTAGATTCTTTTGTCTGATGAAGGTAACAATGCTGTTGCTGAAACGTCGTATACTATTAAATTATTTGGATTAGGTCTTATTTTCTTGTAGGTAGTTTTCTTCTTTCTTATCTCCACTCAATAAACATATCAGGATATCAAGCCTGTAGAGTTTGTTAATGGTGTCTGCTGGAGATGAGAAATCTATTAAAGAGTTAGTACAAATGTGTACTCCATCAAGTGTATTACACACTTAATAACAATACTAACTATTTAAAAACCTTCTGTGATAATACACAAGAAAATAAGACCTAATCCAAATAATTTAATAGTGTGTGACGTTTCGGCAACAGCATTGTTACCATCATCAGACAAAATTATTCTTTTTTGTCTGAAGATGGTGACAATGCTGTTGCCGAAACGTCACACACTATTAAATTATTTGGATTTAGGTCTTATTTTCTTGTATTATAAATCTATAATCCAAATTGTACTTTATCACTCCTGTGATATTTTTTTTATCATTCAGTACTTTTTTCTGATGATAATAACAACACTGTTACTGAAATATCAGACACTATTTATCTATTTGGATTTGATATTTTTGACCTTGTATTTCAGTAATTCTTTTTAATAATAAGTGGAGTGGTGTCATACCTTTGAACTTAATGTTATTGAGGGAGATTGAATGATGGAGGTTTTAACACCAGCCTCCCCAGTAGATTTGTACAAGTGACATGACAATTGACAATTAAAACAGCTTTATTGACGTCTCGTCAATATCTCAAGGAGAGTTATAATAGTAAAATTAATTAGATTTAAAATAAAGAGAAAATATTTACAACAGTTTTCTCTGAAGGGACGTGTGCATCTTATCAGGAGTTTAAAGCCTTTATGAGTTTTAACAGGCTCCTGCCAGTCGTGGAGTCCCCAATATGCTCGATGACAGACTTGAGGAAATTAGCAAGAATAGTCTTGCAAGGAACTCTTCCTAGTAAATTTTGAAATGAACCAGGCGATAAGGAAAATGGGTGTCTTTCCTTGCTGGTATCTCTTAAAGCTTTAATGTAATAGTTTCTATGTTATCTCGAGCCTTTTCTACATATATATTTATTTAATAGCCTTTTGTCTACTTTGCATCTTTTTTCTTTTCACGCTGTTTATACAAATTACCTCTGCTATATATATTTGAGAAGCTCTTGCCATTGGTATCCATCTTGCTATGTGATAGCCGCCTGTAGAAGGGTTTTTACCCGAAAGCTTGTGCTCGTTTTATATAAAAGACACTTATCTTCTTTATCGCCTGGTTCATTTCAAAAGAATAGTCTTGTTTTCAGGCGAGAGTCTCCCTATAAGATCATCACTATCAAAGCCGTAATAGACAGCAAGTATGATATCCTCCCTGGTTGTATTGCCCTCATACAGGGGGCTCAGGAGAGTTGTATCGTTCAGTTGGTGGAATATTTGGGATAGCTGCTGGTAGGAAAGCTTGTTCTTAGAGGGATGGGTCGAAGAGGGCGCAGGAGCTGACTGGAGCTCATGGGTACAAGTGACATGACAGGTAGATGTTACTCACCATTGCTATCTGTAGCTCCTACAGTACTCCCAACAGTCTCGCTTACAGCATCTACACACATCATTAAAGTTACAAGTTATGCAACAAACCCATTTACATATATCCCACATCAGAAATAGGATAACAAGATTCCATGTTGACATTTTTTCAAATTAAGTGTGATATAAAAATCATAAGCTTCTTAATCTAACCAGCAATAATTCAACACCTACTCTAATTCAACATTCTGGAATAATATAAAAAATCAATTATTAGTTGATATTTAATTGATAAGGCATAATTTGGATTATAGATTATAAAACAAGGTAATAAGACCAAATCCAAATAATTATTCAGTACTTTTGTCTGAAGATGGTAACAACGCTGTTACCGAAACGTCACACACTATTTATTTATTTGGATTTGGTCTTATTATCTTGTTTTAGTTGATATTTATTCTGACAGATGGCGCAAGCCATTATCAACTACTAGATTGTTTCATAACTGTTTTACCTAATAATTTACACAGTAGAACCTCCATTAGAGGGCACTCCTGCTAGAAGTATAAAGAACAGTTTCCATCGCCCAAATATCCATTTTGTCCAATAAGCAACTCTCCAGTAAGAGGACACCTCTAACTCCATCTTTGCCAGTCCCAAGCCCGGATGAAAAAGGAGGAGGGGGAGCAGTAACAAGCTCACTAAAAAACCTGGGCTCAGCTGGCCTGGCTGATAGTACCCTGTAAGGACTCCAGGGATACAGGATGAGCAGCGTTTGTACTCCATGTTAGGAGTGGCTGCACATGGCGTCAGTTCTTCATGTCAAAGTCGGCCATTTGGAGCTGTGGGGGCTGAGAGACTTTCCTTCCAGCCTGCTGGGATGACGCACCACGCCGTCAACAAAAACATACAAGCGGGCCATGAAATATGAGATGACGACCGCTGCGCAACGCGGCACAGTGGTGGAAACCAGAGAGGACCAGAATATGCATTCTAGGGGGTTGTCCTTTTTGTCTTCCCATATAAATGTAGCTAATAAGTAATACCAATAAAACGCTAACTTTGAGAGACTTTCTGAGCCATCGCTGGACTAATAAATCGACACACCACAGAGCTAAGTCAGTGGCCTGCCACTGAGTAGTGCTCCCAGTCTTAATGACAAAGGCATTCTACTTCACCCAGTGTGGAGATAAGAAAGAAGAAGAAGGACACCTCTCTCTAGTAAACATTTTAATTCAGTAACTAGGTGTTGTGCTTTAGAGAGTTATTTTTTTACCTATCTTTCAGGTAGTTTATCTTTGTTCTTTTATTCCAAACAGATAATTAATTTTCATTCTTGATTGCATTTACATTACATTAAGCACTTTTGTCTCAAGATGGTAAGTGCTAAAATGGAACTGCTTTTCACATGCGTGGTGGACATGTGGTTAACTTACAATAAACGAAGCCGCCAACTTCTACCCACCATGATTATTAACGTAACTGGCATATAACCTATATGGAGTCGTGCACAAACCTCCAAGATCTTGTCTAATTTAGACTAAAAGGATAAGTAAAAAAAAAAAAAAAGATTATCATGACCTGTACCACATGTGTACTAGGGATAAGCAAAAAAAAAACATATCCTACTAACACAATATACCACTTGTTAACTGACCCCTTCCATAAAAAAAAGTCCCTTGAACTGGATTTGAACCAGTAAACTAAAGATCACTGTTATTACATCTACAGTCCACTCTGCCAACTGAGTTATAAAGGGCTATAACCTGACCTGACCTAGTGTATTGATATACTCAACAGCAGATTGTCACTAGTTTTTTTTTTTTTTGTTTTTCCCTAGTACATGTGGTACAGACCATGATAATCATGGTGGGTAGAGGTAGGCGTGCTTTTACTGTAAGTGCACCACATGTCTACACATGTGAAAAGCAGTTCGACTTTGCACTTATAAATATGCCAGAGCCCCGTTTGGTTACTTGCACTCGCTGGTGGGGTTGGACTTTTGCAAGAATCGGGGGCCATTGGAGCATTTTTTTTTAAACAGAAAAAAAGTGTCCAATGCGGGAATCGAACCCGGGTTGTAGTGGTTGAAAACCAAACGGTTTAACCAGCCTTCCACCGACCCCCCTGGTTGCCAATAGTGGTCAACAGAAATGTATATCTCACTGAATACCACTAGTTCCATATATGTAAAACTGAAATTGATGTCTTTACCACAGTGCATTTGTTTAGAACTTTCAATACTTCACATTTAAATAATGTGCTAAAATACTCATTTCTGCAGCTAAGGTTGAAAAAATGGCACCAAGTATATCAATCTGCTAGGTTAGGTTCAGATTAATTAGGTTAGTTTGGGTTATGTTTAAAAATAGGGAATAGTTTTGGAGATGGCCATTAGGCCTAGTATGGAATAATATGATCAGAAGCACATTTTCACGATAGAATATCTAACCAATAGTTTAATAAATATTTTAAAATGTAAATTTGAAGTTACAAGGTGGTAATAAAACAGGCTGCCATGATATTATTCTGAGAAATGCTTCCATCAACCAATAAAGAAACAAGCTTTTCTCATTGTCGAGGGGGTTATGTATAAACTCGGCACAATAGCTTTCTTTGTGAGAACTTTCTACCATATATTTCGTAATAGAACAATAAAAAAGTATATGAATACTGAGTATATCATTAAATTTCACTCTTTCGAAGGCTCTAATATTTATAAAATATCTAAAAATAAATAGAGAATTATGAGCAGAAGAATTTCGGTAAAATACTGAAAATGCTCTTTTTATATATATTGGGGCTGGAGTAACACAGTAAAATAGGTGTTCAAACAAATTAATTCCCAAATATATTTCTAAGTATTGAAGTATTTGAAAATTTATTTTAGAAAATGAGATAAAAGTTATCAAAAACAAAGGGGGAAATCCGATTTGTTTATAAACAATATGATGATAAGAATTTTGCAGACAAAGTTGTGAAATTAAAAAAAAAAAGAATTCTATCATTATTTTTTGTTGCTGCTGTTGTTGAATAATTTATTCTTTTTTTTTTTATAATAGATAGTATAATATAATTTTTAAAAAGTATTATTCTTAAAAATAATTTGTTTTAGGGAGAATAATGTGAAATGTATAAAATCTATATTTAAAAAGGGTTATAATGCATAGAAGAAGATCATTTAAGATCGAAATATAATTAACTAAACACAATATTGTGAACTATATAATTATCAGCTGGTGGTTAAAATTGTTGAACTTTATTTAGATTTTATTTAGATCTATTGTATGCAGTTTGTGATTTTTATTTTATTTTTATAAAATGTCATTCAAAGAGAGATTCATTATTTCAAATTTGGCTCTCTTGATGTATCCTATTTCTGGAGTGTCCTAATATATATTTCAAATTTAATTACATAATATAAGGTACAGAAAATGGCCCGTCCCCATTGAATATTCACTAAAACGATACATTTTATTAATCCTCCAGTTCAAAACATGAAGGTGGTGATGAAGATATAACCAATTTTCCTATTTAAAGATAGAAGTGCCACTTTTGGCACACGTGAATACCATCCCCCTGCAACTTCATGTTTTATAGATATATATTGTTGCACCAGGTTGCGGCTTGGCAGACTCTTCAGGCATGATTCTCTCCTGTGCTGGGTCTTGCATCTTACCAGAGCGTGTTTCAACCATCCTACAAATTTATATAAGGGAATAATGAGATAAGTCTACTTTAAGTAGCCTCCAGAATCCCTTATTTATTTTCTCACATCAAAGAGAGCAGTGAAGTCACACGTGTACCTAAATACAAATAATGAGAATCTAAAAAATAATCTGTTTTAAATAAATATCATAGAATATAAAAATAAATAAATATATAATTTAAATTTCAAATATATTAAAAATGATATAAGAAATACGCCATTAATCATGATGTAACACTTCCCCCTCTCCAGAGGTCGTCACGTCCTCGTGAGTTACCTCATCAATTCTCTCAAAATAGGGTTTGAGTCTTGAGACATGGACAATCAATGGGTCTTGGCCAGGATTATCTTTCGGCTCAATTAAGTAATTTACGTTAGACAGCTTCTTTAATATTCGATATGGGCCAAAATATTTTCTCAATAGTTTTTCACATTTTCCGATTTTCCTGACTGGTGTCCAAACTGCCACTAAATGTCCTGGTTCATAGATTCTCTCGTTGTGTTTTTTGTCATAGTTTCTCTTCATTCTTTCTTGAGTCTTCTCTGTGTTGTTAATGACTACCTGTCTCGTCCTTGCTATTTTATCTAAGTAATTTTCTATATATTCGTCATAATTGTTCATGTTACTGTCAATTGGGATATTATCGTCGTCTAAGAGGGACATGGGTTCCCTCCCAAATAACAGGAAAAATGGAGAGTAGCCTGTGGTTTCTTGAATCGTGGTATTGTACGCGTGGGTGACGAAAGGGAGGATTTCGTCCCAGTTTTTCTGGTCTGTATTTACATACATGCTTATCATGTTGATTAGAGTTCTATTTAGCCGTTCCGTTAGTCCGTTAGTCTGGGGATGGTAGCTCGTCGTGAAGCAGTGTTTAACTTTGCACATTTTCATAACCTCCTTCATCAAATTGCTAGTGAACTGTGAACCTCTGTCACTAATAAGAAACCTTGGGGCCCCGTGACGTAAAAAAATTTGTTCGATTAAAAATGTAGAGACTTCTTTCACTGTTGCTTCTGAGACTGCCTTTGTTTCAGCGTACCTGGTATAATAATCAGTCAACACAATTATCCACTTCCTTCTTCTTTTCGTTGATGGCAAGGGACCAACAAAGTCAATCCCGATTCTTTCAAAAGGGTAGTTAGCTGGGGGAATGGGTTGCAAAAGTCCAGAGGGCGACTGATTTGAACCTTTCCGACTTTGGCAAAGATGGCACGTCTTTACAAATTCTGAAACATCTTTCAGCATGGAAGGCCAATGATATTTATTCTTCAAACGGTATGTGGTTCTGGCGACGCCTAGATGGCCATTCAGCATATGGTTGTGGAATTCACTCATGATTTCTTTCCTTCTCTTCTTCGGCACTACCAGCAACCATGCTCTGCCTTCAGGGTTTGGGTTCTTCTTATATAGACATCCATTTTCCTCTTTAAAATTCTGTGTGATTGCTCGTTTGCTTCCTTTAAGGCTTTTCTTAACATTTTCTATGAATTCATCCTCTTCATTTATTATCTGATTCAAAAATAGTCGTTCATAATCTTCGACCCAATCCATTTCAGGTAGGGGTCCTCTAGATAAGCCATCAGCATCCATATGTTTTTTACCCGCTTTGTGTATTATGTCAAAATCGTATTCCTGAATTTTCAGTGCCCACCTTGCAAGTCTACCTGTTGGATCTTTTAGATTTTTCAGCCAGCACAATGCGTGATGGTCTGTAATTATCTTGAAGTGTCTTCCATATAGGTAGGGTCGTAGTTTTGATATCGCCCACACCACAGCCAAACATTCCTTTTCGGTGGTTGAGTAATTTTGCTCAGCTTTACTTAGAGTTCGACTCAAATATGATATCACCTTCTCTTCCCCACAGATAATCTGGACCAGTGTTGCACCTAAGCCGATGTTAGAGGCGTCTGTGTGAATGTAGGTGGCTGCATTTGGATCAAAGTGACCTAAGATTGGCGGATTTATCAGAGCTTTTTTAAGGTTTTGAAATGCTTCCTCTTGTTTTTCTGTCCAGGTAAATTGCGCATTTTTCCTGATGAGTCCTGTCAATGGGTCAGCAATTAATGAGAAATCTTTAATGAATTTTCTATAATAGGAACACATTCCTAGGAACGATTGTACTTCTTTGACCTTCTTGGGCTGAGGAAAATCCCTAACGGCTTTGATATTATATTCGGCCGGTTTTATACCCTGTTGGTTTGTTATATGACCAAGGATCTCAAGTTCTTCAAAAGCAAATCTGCATTTCTTGTCGTTCAGTTTCAAATTAGATTCACTAAAACATTTTAAGACAGCTTCAAGTCTTTTAAGGTGGGTTGGAAAGTCTGAGCTGTATATAATAACGTCGTCCAGATAACAAAGGCAAATCTGCCATCTTAGATTTCCAAGCACATTGTCCATATTCCTCTCAAAAGTAGCAGGGGCGTTGCATAGTCCAAAGGGCATGACGTTGAATTCATATAAACCGTGGGTCGTAGTGAAAGCTGTCTTCTCCTTGTCTTTCTCTTCAATTTCGACTTGCCAATATCCCGATCTAAGGTCTATTGCTGAGAAGTACTTCGATCCTTGGAGAGTATCCATTACGTCATCAATTCTTGGAATTGGGTAAACATCCTTCACTGTTACATCATTCAATTTTCTGTAGTCAACGCAAAATCTGTACTTACCATCTCGCTTCTTGACCAAGATTACAGGGAAGGACCATGGACTCGAGGATGGTCTAATTATGCCGTCTCTGAGCATTTCATCAATTTGTTCTTTTATGATTTCTCGCTCTTTCGCGCTCACTCTATACGGCTTGTGTTTGATCGGTTTCGCGCCTTCTGTATCGATCCGATGTTTCGCTAAGTTGGATCTTCCTAATCCCGACGAAAACAAATCCTCGTACCTTTCCAAAACTTGTTTCAATTGCTCCTTTTCCTTATATGCTAAATTTTCGTTTATCTGAAATTGAGGTTCTTCATGCTCTTTTTGTTCACTTTCTTCCACAAGATTCACTTCGGCTGGCTGGCTTCCAAAGCACAATGTTTGGTTTTTTAATATTTTTAAT